TCTGCCTACTTCTGGCTGAGGAGGGGCAACGTCGGGGTGGGGGTTTAAGGCTGGTTGACAGCTGGAGGCTCAGTCGGGAGGGGTGAGTACTTGTACAGCAACAGTTGATTGATTTTTATGTGTGTCATTTCTGCTATGTGCTGTTGAAGGAACTTAAAAACACATGGACCAATAAGGAGTATGAAACAGATCACTGCAACAGGGCCTAAGAGAGGCACTAACCAGGCCATAATAGGGGATTGAAACCAGCTGTATGGATTATTACTTGATATGCCGGTTCCTTGGAGTTCCCTTTTTAGTTCTTGTAGTTTGTGAACATTCTGCTCTATGAGTCCCGACTCATTGATATAGTAACAACACTGTTCCTGGAGGAATAGACAGGTCCCTCCCTTCTCTGCAGTAAGGAGGTCTAAAGAGCGGTGGTTTTAGAGGGTTACTTGGCCAAGGAGGTGACTTGCCTCTGGAGGGATGCCAGAGAGGCTGCAGATGTTTGGACAGCTACTTTGAGCCATCATTCTAGTTTTTCTAGGGCTGTAATATTGTAACCCAGGGCACCAGCGCTCACTCTTATGGCTAGAATGGAGAAAGTGAGGGAGATCCCTGCCACTGAAGGCAGGAGGACTGCTCTCTTGTGACGGGATTCTGAGGCCCAGAAGTTGGTGAACTCAGCTCCTCCATACAGGGTCAACCTATGGACTAGGGTGACTAGCAGGCAAGAAGCATTTGCAAAGTTGGTTTCGTATAGGGTCCCATTGCACCACAGGAAAGTACCTAGTGGGAAGCAAAGAAAGGAAGGCTGCTTATAGTGATGTCTCGAGGTCACATTTACTTTAGGTGTTTTGAATAATGGTACCTTACCAATAAGTTTGGGCTTTGAGGGAGGGCTTGGGGGGGCAGGGTAGGCTCTCTCTCTTGGTGGTATCTGAACTGCCACCACAGGGGTTTCTATAAGGGAAGTGCAGAGGAAGCATGTGTCAAGGATGTATTGGGGAGGGTGTGTCGGAATAAGTCTAGTCCCTCTTGCAGGAGACTTAACCAAGAAAAGGGAAGGGTCTTAGCCTTTTGTTGTATGTGAGTCTGTAGGTGGATTTCTTGGGTTTTAATGGCCTGTTGTACTTCTTCAAGATGTTTGGGGGTGCTTACCTCTACGTATTGATGAATCATGGTAGTCTGGCAGGGGTATGCTTGAAAATTATTTAAATAAACACCTCCTGTAATGCCCTCATTCCAGCGATTATGTAAGGGGTCTTGATGTTTAAATACCTCTTTGCGCAGGGTGCCCAGCATTGAAAAGTAAGCATATGGCGGCTATCGGCCAGATGGCCTTCTACCATCCAATTCATGACACAGGAGGCCCAGGGGCACCTAAAATTTTCTTTGATCCACTGTGTTCTGCACTTTCCTGTTTGCTGAAAGATGAGGCAGAGGGCCATGTTGATAGGTGTCTCTCCATCAGAGCACCAAACTCAGTTAAGAGGGAGGGCAATTACGGGCTGACAACTGTCAACTTCACAAAAGGCAGTTACAATCGTCTCTTCTACCAGCCCAATTTTTATGGTGTATTGCTGGGTGGCTTCAAATCGATACCTGATGGGAGAGGGTGAGACTACTCCACTGTGTAGGAGGAGGAGTAGGACTAGGAGCCCTTCAGAGTTGGATCCGTAGAGGTCCGACTTGTTCTGCTTGCCAAACGTCATTGGGAAGGGGGGCTCTTTTTAGTCGGGAAATATGGTACCATGCAGGGTCTCCTGATAGTTTGGCAGCAGTGGGGGTTGTGAGGATTACAGTGTATGGTCCTGTCCAGCAAGACTGGAGCAATCGAGGCTGGAGTTCTTTTAGAAGGAGATCCGTGTCCTCTGGGTTGTCAGACGACGTGGGCTGGGGTAGGAGCTGGTCTGCATTTTCTCTGAGAAGATGTCTCAACAGTGAAAAATAAGGAAGGTAGGAGGCTAAAGGAGGAGAGGCAGCAGGCAGGCTTGTGTTCAGTAAGAAGGGCCTGCCATACATTAGCTCAAATGCGCTTAGCCCAACAGGTTCCTGGGTTTCGGCACCAAATGTAAGATAAATTCTAGCCAAAATAAGCAGGCGAAGAGAGGCAACAAAGGACCAGGTAGTTTATTTGAACGCAAACACCCGGGCGAGATTTCCCCAGTCTATAGAAATGGAGGCTGGGGAATTTGCGCGTAAGCAGACAGGCAGCAAGTTTTTAAAGAAGGTAGGGGGAGGCAGAGCTTAGATTTATAGCAGCGTGAGGATTAGCTAGCTCAAGGCACATTTTTCAGGTTGGGAGGGGGCAGCAGCCGGGGACTTTGGCACGTCAGTGTCTGATGTGCTTGCTCTTCCCATCAGTGCCCCCAGTGATACAGCATCATTTTCTCCAACAGCATTTGCTCACTTCCTGTCTCTGTATGACATTTTGGTGATTCTCCTAATATTTCAAACTTCTTTATTATTATATTTGTGATGGTGCTCTGCAGTCAGGATCCTTGGTGTTACTATTGTTATAGGGTGGGTCCATTCTTTTCGGTGCCTGCCCCTACCTCAACAAAGAGCTGAAAGGCAGAGTCCCACTAGCGAAGCAGGGGGACAGTTTTATTTGAATACATCTGAAGGGAGGAGCAGAGCACAATCAAGGTAGACAAAGGCCTTGATCTGTTAGGCCAGAGGCTTCTATATTTATTGCACTCTGGCTGGGAGGTGCCTCTTTGACTGACAAGATGTGGTTATTTGATTTACAGTTCTTTCTATACTGCCATCCCTCTCAGTGAGCCTGTGCTTTCCCGGTGCTGAGGTGTTATGTGGGAAGTTCTCAGTTCTGTTGGATTGCGATCTGGCTGGGGAGGAAGTTACCCCCCTGCTAAGCCTCTCTGGTCTCCACCTGGGACTCCCACCTGGGCAGGGTTTGGGTGCCTTTTTTCCATGAATCTTATCTGGGCGGCTTCTTCTTTGGGCTTTATCTTCCCCTTTCCCAGCTGCTCATGTCTACCCTAACATTCCTAACACTACTGTAATTGTTTTGGAGTCCGAGAACCTCACTCATTTAAAACAGCCAGCTTAACTGATGAATGTTGTGTGTGTTCTAACTTCCCTACCAACTGGCCATTGCCCCATCTCTCGCCCTCTCCCTCTGGATTCTCTGAGACACAGTGATATTGAAATTATCCCAATTAAGACGCTACAAAGGCTTCTAAGTATTCAAGTAAAAGAAAAAGTCACACGTCTCTCACTTTAAATCAAAAGCTAGAAATGATTAAGCTTAGTAAGGAAGGCATTTTGAAAGTCAAAACCTAGGCTTCTTGCTCCACTTAACCAAGTTTTAAATGTGAAGGAACAGTTCCTAAAGGAAATTAAGTGCCACTCCAGTGAACACATGAATGAAAAGAAAGTGAAACAGCCTTATCACTGATATGCAGAAAGTTGTAGTGGTCTGGATAGAAGATCAAACCAGCCACAACATCCGCTTAAGACAAAGCCTAATCCAGAGCAAGGCCCTAACTCTCTTCAATTCTGTGAAGGCTGAGAGGTGAGGCAGAAGAAAATATGGAAGCTAGCAGAGGGTGGTTTGTGAGTTTTAAAGAAAGAAGCTGTCACCTTAAGAAAGAAGTGCAAGATGAAGCAGCATCTCAGAGTCTAGGAGACAGACATTTATTACACAATGTGGTAAGTTCTGTGATAAGGGTAAACAGAGGAGCAGAGGAAGCAGCTTACTCAGTCTGAAAGATTCAGGAAGAGTTACTTGGAAGAGGTGACATCTGGACCAAGGCTTAAAAAGTGAAGACATTGATACAAGAGTCAAGTTTGGGAGAATTACACACAGTATTTGGAAATATGTGAGAACTGGCTACTTCAAGGAATTTTAGCAAATGCTGGGCCATAGGTGACTATGCGGGAGTGCGAGGCATGAACTGGACAAGTGGTCTGGGGCCAGGTCCTGAGGACTGTTACATGCCCTGCTGAGATAGTGGGAGGTTATGAGATATTGTCCTCTCAGTGCTTTAGTTAGCAATCATGCAAGCAATTCTTTTAGTCTTTTATTTGTATGTAAAACAGGAAAGTATTCAAGAACAGGTTACATAAAGAAACGAATATTAACTAGAGATTTTGATGAGTGTCATATGTAGCCCTTCAATTCCAGTCTTCGAGAAACAACACCCACTTCCACCCCTGCAAGAGAGGGCGCTCTGTGTTACCAGTCTTCGTGTTCTTTGGTTCTTACTCTTAATTACTTAGCTTAATGGAAAGAAAGACCAAAGATATTTCAACTGGAAAATCTTACTGCAATGGCCCTGTGTTGAATAATGTCCCTCAAAAATTCATGTCAAAGCAGAACCTCAGAATATGACCTTATTTGGAAATATGGTCTTTGCAGATGTAATTAGTTGAGTTAATATGGCGTCATACTGGATTTAGGATGGGCTCTAAACCCGATAAATGGCGTCCTTAAGAGATGGCCAAGTGAGAACAAAGGTGGAGAGTAGAGTTATGCTGCCACAGACCGAAGAACACCAAGGGTTGCCGGCACCCACCACGGGCTGGGAGAGAACAAGGGGCAGCCTGCTCCTGAGGGCCTCCCGGAGGAACCGGCTCTGCTGATCCCTCGATTTTTGACTTCTGACCCCCTGAACTGTGGAAAGATAAAGTTCTGTTGTTTTAAGCCATCCAGATTATGGTAATTTGTATGTCAGTGCTAGGAAACTAACACATCAGCCAAGAAAAAAGTGTATCTAAATGTTGTTAGAAATATCTCAGGTGGCTTTTTCTAGTCAGAGCTTTGTGCACTCCAAACATTTCAAGCCAGTTTTAAGGGATAGATTAATGATTTTTAGGAAATATCACTGTAATTACATGATCTATAATGAAAAGAAGTCTATATAAACTTCAAGATCTTAGAAAAATATAATTTCTCTTTACTTTTACCTATTACTCAAGTATTGAATTCTTTATGCTCAGTAATGACAAACATAATCATTTTTACAACTCATTTTCTCTTTCTATCTAAGATTATTTTCTTTGTTCTACCTTGAGGAACTTGACATTTCCTATAATAAAATTGCTTTTATTCCAAATGAAATCTAGAAACTCAGGTATTTTGGAAGTAGTTAAGTACATACAAAGCCATATGACCCCTAAGGATATATTTGGTGATGATTGTGCAGAAAATTGAGTCCTTTCATTTATTCAGTAGGCATAAATCATAATATGTGAAGCATGAAGTGTACCAAAACTTAATTTGTATGGCTAATGAATAGTATTTTTAAGACATAACATTCTCAGTAAGTATTTAAAAGACAGTACTGATAACCACTTAGTAGAACTAGTTACTTTTGTCCATTCTTCCATGTGCACACCTTTAGGTCTTGTCAGTTTTAATTATTTCTTTTAAGGAAATATATATATACAAAAAGTTAATAATATACAGTGTAATTTTAATACTAAACTCTGATTCTCATATTAATTTTTTGAAAGTGTCAAGTTCATCTACATCCTAGGTCAGTATCATGCCATTTTCATTATGAATTTATAATAATTTTTAATAACTAGTTGGGAGATTATTTTCCAATAATAGTCTCTCAACTATTCTTTTTAGATCATGATCTTTAAGAACATTTAATATAATTCTAAGCCCTTCTTCTGCCCAAAAAAGCATAACTGTACTTTCTCAGACTATTAATGGCTCTTTCCTTTCCCAAAACTCGCAAACAGAATTTCCTTTAATATTTTATAAAAGCAATATAAAAACTACTTTCCCTACCATGATGGCCTGTCTCCATACTGCTGCCTTCCACCAATAGTTGAAACCTTTAGAATACTTTTATTTTCCCACTTCCCATCCAAATGAATTTACCCCTAATCTAATTCTGTTTTACTGAGATTGCTTAGAAACATGTTTCAGATTCTCATTAGCATTTTATGCACTGGCTCTTTTTATTTAAGGATTTGTATTTAGCACTCAGATCTCATAAACATTTTCAATCACTCTCCATTTACATTTAACTCTGTATTTTAAGATTCCTTGTTTATTGCTTTTCTTTTTCTCATCTTGAACCTGGAGTTGTCTCCTTTGATTCTTTGGCTGTTTAGAGTTTTTCCTTATTTATTTTCCTCAGAGAGAGTAAGTGGGTAATTTTTGCCTCTGACTCTTTAACTCTAGCAGATAAACAGTGCCCTAACTGGGTGGGCCATCTTACATTGCGGCCCTTATCATGAGTAATCTCGATCGTCCTGTCCTCAACAAGCTTCCAGCCAGTGGTATAGATAATGTACCCGATGCCAATTTGATTTTTTTAAAAGTGGTTCTTGTTTGTATCTGGAAACACTGTGAATCCTTGACATTTGGAATTTTATCAGCTTATGTTTAAGAGTGTGGCTTTTTTTAACCTGTTAAAAAAATCTGCACTCAATTCTACCATTGTGTTGGGGGTGGGGAAGAATCCCCACACTGACAAGCAGTTCTCTGACACCAGCTCATGTCCTACAATTCAACTCAAGTCTGACACTATCTACCTGGAGATAGCATCAGATTCCACAGGTTAAGGGCTCAGTCCCACAAGACCGCCCCCTGCTTCACATGCCAATTGCAAGTCCATGTTGTTACCTGTGCTTGTGACCAAGCAGCTACAGGTTGGAAGTTCCCACCACCCCCTCTTGGTCTTCAGATGCCATTCATGAGTCCAGTGTCACCTGTACTTCTCACTGACTGGCTGTAAATCAGAGATTCCCACAATGCCCTCCTTGAGTTTGATTAATGTGCTAGAGTGGCTCACAGAACTCAAGAAAATGATTTACTCACTAGATTACTGGTTTATTACAAAGGATATATACTAAAGGATATGAACTGATAGCTAGATGAAGAGCTACACAGAACAAATTCCCAAAGAAAGCAGCGTCTGTCCGCATGGAGTTTGGAGCCTGGCACAGTGGGGCACTGGGATGTTCTGGATCCCCAACTAGGAAGGTTTCCAAACCTCCTCTTTTTTTTTTTTGAGAGGGCATCTCTCATATTTATTGATCAAATGGTTGTTAACAACAATAAAATTCAGTATAGGGGGGTCAACGCTCAATGTACAATCATTAATCCATCTCAAGCCTAATTCTCGTTAGTCTCCAATCTTCTGAAGCATAATGAACAAGTTCTTACATGGTGAAGGAATTCTTACATAGTGAATAAATTCTTACATGGTGAACAGTACAAGGGCATTCATCACAGAGACTTTCGGTTTTGATCATGCAATATGACCTATAAACAATCAGGTCAAATATGAATATTCGTTTGATTTTTGTACTTGATTTATATGTTGATCCCACATTTCTCCTATTATTATTATTATTTTTATTTTTAATAAAATGCTGAAGTGGTAGGTAGATGCAAGATAAAGGTAGAAAACATAGTTTAGTGCTGTAAGAAGGCAAATGTAGATGATCAGATGATCAGGTGTGTGCCTATGGACTAAGTATTAATCCAGGCTAGACAAGGGCAGCAAGACATCCACGGATGCAGAAGATTTCTCTCAAAGCAGGGGGGGTGAGGTTCTGAGCCTCACCTCTGTTGATCCCCAAATTCTCACCTGATGGCCCCCCTGCGACTGTGCCTGTCTTAGGTTGTTCCTCCCTTGAGGAATCTTACCCGTCTCTGGCTAACCAGTCATCTTCCGGGGCCATACAGGGAAATGTAAAGTTGGTAAGTGAGAGAGAAGCCATATTGTTTGCAAAGGTTAGCTTTTTACTTCTTTGCAGATTTATGCCCTGTGGCTTCTATGCCCAGCACTTGTCTCGAGGTATCTTTACCACCTGGAGGAATTATGATACTCGGTAAATTCGATATGAGGCACGAATTCTATTTAAGGTTTGTAATTAGGAAGGAAGAAGAAAAGCTATAGATGTAGCATATGAAGGAAACTTGGGAGGATTGATTATTTCTTTGACATATCTTCTTGTATAGTACCTTAAGTATGTATAGGTTTTAAACTACTAACTAATTTGCACACACATATTAACATAATAGGAATACGGTGACATAAACAAAGCAAATCTATAATTACCAGCCATCTCCAGTGAAGCCAAGAAAACCATTTAGGCACCCTAGGCATTTGTGAAAATTTATCTATGATATGATGGATATTTTCCAACTGTACTTGAACCATCAGACAAATTAAAGCAGCCCATTTCTGGGATCTGTTCACATCCCATATGTTCTTTTAACCATAGATAGTCTATAGTCATGAGATTTTGGGGTGCTACAACTTGCACCCCTCCCAACTCCTGGTTGAGTTCCAACAGTACAGATCCAGTCAAATTCGTTGTCTCACTGTATGCACATGCCAGCCTAGACATCTCCCTCCTCCTTCTTATGGCAAGTCCAGGAGATGGTGGGCTGGATGCAGCCACAACCGCAGCATCGTCCGGATCCCTGTGGAGGCTTTTTGATGATCATCCCCCGGCACGAGTCCTCCAGAGAGTGCTGATGCCGGAAGCTCCTCCTCATATCGTATCTTAGTTCATTTTCTGGGTATCCAAGCTAGGCCTTGATCTTCTGCGTAGAAACAAACAGACCCTTTGCCCACACTTTGACATGCCCTCTATACCACTGTGCAGAACTCATTGGAGGTCAGCACACAGTAACTTTTTTTTTTTTTTTTTTTAATTAAGAGAAAGGAATATTATCAGAAAAGAGTACCTCCATAGCTGATCATCTGACACCCTTTAAGTGATCAACATTAAGGATATTTAAAGCATGCGTTGATCTTTGATTTACCAATAGTTTTATCCTGTTAAGGAGTAATCCCCCTTTTCTTTCTTTTTTTTTTTTTTTTTTTTTTTTTAAATTTTTAATCTACACTTACATGAAGAATACTATGTTTACTATGCTCTCCCCTATATCAGGTCCCCCCTAACAACCACATTACGGTTACTGTCCATCAGCTTAGCAAAATGTTGTAGAGTCACTACTTGTCCTCTCTGTGTTGTGCAGCCCACCCTCCCCTTTCTCCCTCCCCCCATGCATGCTAATCTTAATACCCCCCTTCTTCTTCCCCCCCCTTATCCCTCCCTGCCCACCCATCCTCCCCAGTTCCTTTCCCTTTGGTACCTGTTAGTCCATTTTTGGGTTCTGTAATTCTGCTGCTGTTTTGTTCCTTCAGTTTTTCCTTTGTTCCTATACTCCTCAGATGAGTGAAATCATTTGGTATTTCTCTTTCTCCGCTTGGCTTATTTCACTGAGCATAATACTCTCCAGCTCCATCCATGTTGCTGCAAATGGTTGGATTTTTCCACTTCTTATGGCTGAGTAGTATTCCATTGTGTATATGTACCACATCTTCTTTATCCATTCATCTACAGATGGACATTTAGGTTGCTTCCAATTCTTGGCTATTGTAAATAGTGCTGCGATAAACATAGGAGTGCATCTGTCTTTCTCAAACTTGATTGCTGCGTTCTTAGGGTAAATTCCTAGGAGTGGAATTCCTGGGTCAAATGGTAGGTCTGTTTTGAGCATTTTGATGCACCTCCATACTGCTTTCCACAATGGTTGAACTAATTTACATTCCCACCAGCAGTGTAGGAGGGTTCCCCTTTCTCCACAGCCTCGCCAACATTTGTTGTTGTTTGTCTTTTGGATGGCAGCTATCCTTACTGGTGTGAGGTGATACCTCATTGTAGTTTTAATTTGCATTTCTCTGATAATTAGCGATGTGGAGCATCTTTTCATGTGTCTCTTGGCCATCTGTATTTCTTTTTTGGAGAACTGTCTGTTCAGTTCCTCTGCCCATTTTTTAATTGGGTTATTTGTTTTTTGTTTGTTGAGGCGTGTGAGCTCTTTATATATTCTGGACGTCAAGCCTTTATCAGATCTGTCATTTTCAAATATATTCTCCCATACTGTAGGGTTCCTTTTTGTTCTATTGATGGTGTCTTTCGCTGTACAGAAGCTTTTCAGCTTAATGTAGTCCCACTTGCTCATTTTTGCTGTTGTTTTCCTTGCCCGGGGAGATATGTTCAAGAAGAGATCACTCATGTTTATGTCTAAGAGGTTTTTGCCTATGTTTTTTTCCAAGAGTTTAATGGTTTCGTGACTTACATTCAGGTC